AATGGTCATTTTAATGTTACTTAAATTCCTATCCACCTTATCTCCACCGAGATTCCTACCTCTCATTTCTTGCCTAACTCCTCTATTTTTACCCCTTTCAATCTCCGCATCCACAATTGCATCTTCATCCATCCCACTATCAACCTCAAATTCACTAAGCTCCTCCATGCTAGGTTCTCGTCTACCCTGTCTCCGTGCATTAAGACCCCTCCTTTGTGTATTGGCAGGTAATGGACTTTGCCTTTCCCTCCATGCATCTGGCCTATCCATCCAATCCCTCATATCTGCTCAATCCTTCGCACGAAGTCTTCTAGCATGAAAATCCGATCATCAATTCTACCTGAACTCGATCCTTCTTTGTCAGACATCCTAAATCTAAGTTATTTTTCTTCCTCACAATTGTTCACTCGAAATTTCACTCAATATGGCTTTTTCCCTCGATTTTTTTCACCAGTCTGCCTTTTACTACTCGTTGCTTTCACCAAGTTTCGCAAAGAACAATTTTGGAACTCAATCAAGATTTAATCACGTGAAATTCAAACCGGTGTGAGTGAGCTTACAATACCAATGAATTTAGAACAATTTGACTGGCAATTCAGACTAGATAAGTAAAGAAATTGACTCAAGAACGCAAAACAAGAAAGGAAATTACTGACTGAAAATTTAAACTAGACACAAAATAATAAATTGACTCAAGAAATCGGTAATTCCCAAGATCAACAATAATAATAACAATTTTTTTTTTTTAAATTCGGATTTTTTTGAAATTTTTTTAACTATATGGATGAACATTACTGTACAGATGAACAATAATTTTTTTTTTACTCTTGGGATAGAAAAATAAAAAATAATACTGACGCAACAAACGGGAGTTGATTTGGATGCAAATTGAATCAAAAAACAATTTTTGAAATTTTTTTGTAACCCTTTTGGATTAAAGACTCTAAAATACTAACGGACTCGAAGAATAGTAAAGAAAAGTAATAACTGACTCAATAAGAATTAAAAAGAGATATAACGTTGGATTGAAACCAAGCTCTGATACCAGTTGATGTGAACCCGCGTAGGCAAATACTACGGAACCCACGAACAAGATGGAAATCTTCCCAAGAAAGCCAAAGCAATGTTTTGGACTCGAATTCAATAAATCTGGAACCAAGCAACCCGAATCGTCGACGATGTGTGGACCTCTTGATTACGCAAAATTATGGAATTTCACCTGGTTGATTTGAACGTCACAAGAATTTGATCTTGATAAGTTTGAAAGTTATTCAATTGAAAGAACAAAGAGAAAGAAATTAAGCCTTTCAATTAATCAATATGTCAAAAGTCCCTAAAATAATGGAACGAGAAAATATTTATACTAGTCCTAAAAATCTAGGTAAAATCGTCCATAATCTTCCAAATATGGTAAGAGTTCTATTAAACTTGGAATTATAATAAAACAGGAAAATCCTCCGGAAAAGAAAAATCGCGTCCCACTTTTGTACCATGCGGTCGCATGGTACATTTTCTTCGGCTGAGTTGTTATGCGAAATTCACCCATAAAAATCCCTGCCCGTGGCTATGCGACCGCAAGCCTTGCAAAGCTATGTGGCCGCATGGCTTTGCTCCTTGAACCCGGTTTCCTCCACCTTAAACACATTGATCCAAGCTTTTTCGGCCTTCGTCTCCAACATGAAACTTGTCCCATTTTGAGTCTTGAACATGGTTTCATCAATAGTTGCCTTGACGAGACGGATCTTTCTTCAGGCTTGACGTTGGACTTATCCTTGACACTTGCGGCTCCTGGATCACATCAATCATACTCAGCGAAATTTGTCTCTATTTTTTCCCTTTTCCTTGATTGATTTTTGATAGAGATCCGCAAGTTGTTTTGCCTTACGACAGGTACGTGTCCAATACCATTTCCTTCCACATGTAAAACAACTTTCTTCGCGAACCTTTTTCAATGTGCTACTTTCATTTTCTTTGTGTCTTTTGAAATTGTTGCCTTGTTGTTGAAAAATTTGTTGATTATTTCATCCATGGTTTACTCCACGTGTATGTCCGCGTCCACATCTAAATTCATGTTCACGTCCACGTCTACGCCCACATCCTTGTCTTAATATTGCATTTGCTTCAAGCAATGCAGTACCATTTTGTTTCAGGTAATGGTATAGAACCAGTTGGACGTAACCCATGATTTTTCACCAGCAGTTCATTATTCTGTTCAGCAACACGTAGGCAAGATATAAGTTTTGAGTACTTTTTAAAACCACGCTCGCGATATTTCTGCTGCAGAAGTACATTCGAGGCTTGAAAGGTGGAAAATTATTTCTCTAACATATCTTCATTAGTAATTTTTTCTCCACACAATATCAATTTTGAATATATATTCTCAACAATTCAGAATTGTATCACTAACAGTTTTGAAGTTTTGCAAACGAAGATGCATCCACTCATAGCGGGCTTTGGGAAGGACTATAGTCCTTTGATGATCAAATGTCTCAGTTAAATTTTTTTTTAAAGAACCTGTGAATCTTTCTCAATGAGATATTCAATTTTTAGTTCATCGTGAAGATGATGGCAAAAGAATATAAGTGCTTTTGCACAATCCTGCAGGGATTATTTGTTTCCTTCTTTTATTATCTCTCCCAAACCTTTTGAGACAAGATGAATATCAGCATCAAGTACCCATGATAGATAGTTTTTGTCGGAGATGTTATAGTTTTTGTCGGAGATGTTAAGTTCAACAAACTTAAGTTTTGTGATGTTCTCCAAAACACATGCTACTTCGGGAGCATGTTGTATTTTACCTATTACTTCTTCAAGGGCAATATATCAATATTCTTCTGGAATATTGAAGTTATAATTCATACTCTTCATGAGCAAGTAATATTCTTCAAGAATATTAATTATAAGATTGCGTTACTTCAAAAGCAACAATATGATAGAATATTAATTTAAAATTTATAATAGAACATCTAAAGTCATTTAATCAGGTTAAAAATATTAATTATCGTACAATCATGAACATAAATTATTGAACATGCATTAAGTAATCACGAATGCATATTTTACAATCATAGAAAAAAAAGGTCAAAGCAAAGAATACTTGAATTAAAGCAATCATTAAGAAAAGCAGACAACACCAAGTTAGGCAAAAACGTGTATGATGTATATATAATTAAGTAAAGTTAAATTAGAAAACAAACAAAAAACTGTGATGGGACAAATTCTACAATTTTCGACCTTTTGTAGTTGAACCCAAAGTCCACTTTCCTTAAAAGTCTTAAGTTTTTCTTCATTGCTTGGAATTTGACTATAGAATTTCGCCAAACACACTGAGCGTAGTTTTACCCAATCATGAACAAATAAGTAGAATCATATCTGACTTCCAATTCATATAAAATATTCACAAAATTAACACATAAGTATCAAAATTTCCAATTCACAAACCAATAGATAACGTGGTGGTGGCAGAATTGTAAACCAAGTATTCACGTGTATATATAAAAAAAATTCACAAGTCACAAAATTAATTTTGGTACATGTGATAGATGATTATATTGAAAAAATTTACATGTTACTAAATTCATTTTGGTACACGTAATAAATGATTATGCTTGGAAAAAAATTACTACCTTTACTAAGTTTTTAATAATTAAGTCTTCGTGCTGATAACGTGTTATAAAAGTGAAGAAAAGAGAGAAATCAATAGACTGTGTATATTTTATTAAGAACCAAAACCCTGTATTTATAGGATAGAATCAGGGATATAATAGCAATTATTTCTAAGGCTGCAGGGGTATAATTGTTATTTACCTTCACTTAAGTTTTGGGCGATTTCACCAATGGTCACTAAAGTTTTTAAAACTTGCACAAATAGTCACTAAAGGTACCAAAATGATTCCAATTCAAACTTAAGGACCGAAACATGTGACCATACATATTTTTGAGGACCTTAGGTGCAAACTTTCGGCCACTTTAAAAACCTTCAAAAATTGGCTTAATTTGATGATTGGGGTCATTTATGGATTTATTGATGCAATTGAACTGTTACTCATGGTCGTATGATGCTGCTGGAGACTAATTGGGACCATTTTGTGATTCAGTGATGTGGGGAGGAGGAATTGAAGGAGGCAAATTTGATTTCTCATTCCATTCGATGCGAAGGATTGCCTGGTTCAATTCAACCCTGTTGGTTCGAAATTGGCGATGACCCATAGTTTCATTGGATGCGTCATGAAAAGGCGGTCCTAGGGGTGGTGGTTTGCAACCTTGGGTAGCGTCGTTGGCGCCGATAATTGGGGCTAAATGGTCCGAGTTCGTTGTCAATAAAAATGGCTGGAGATCTTTATTTTTTGATTTGTTTGGTTCGAAATTGGCGGTGACCCATAGGTACATTGGATGCGCTATGAAGAGGTAGAAATAGGGGTGGTGGTCCGCGACCGTGGGTAGTGTCGCTGGCATCGGAAATGAGGATTGAATGGCCTGAGTTTGTTGTTGCAACTTTTGGCCCTTTTTGGTTGCATGGGCAGCCTTCTTTGGCCGGAAATTTCATGCAGATCTGATGGAGTATCGGCTATTGATTGAGTGATTAGAAAGAGTGAAGTGAGGGTTTCAAGGTGATATGTTGGTCCGACAGCAAGGTGGTATGAGGTTGGAGTTGTGGTGGTCCATAGATGGTGGCTCAAAATCTTCAAAATTCACCACCTTTGCTCTACCAGTCGAAAGTTTGCACTTGAGGTCCTCAAAATTTTGTATGGTCAAGTGCTTCGGTCCTTAAGTTTGAATTAGAATCATTTTGGTACCTTCAATGACCATTTGTGCAAGTTTTAAAAGCTTCAGTGACCATTAGTGTAACGGCCAGAAACTTAAGTGACCATTTCTGAAAGTTTTAAACTTCGGTGACCGTTTTGTAATTTTCGCGTAAGTTCAGTGACCGTTTGTGAAATTAACCCATTTGTAATTATTTGTGACTAATAATAAACATATTTTAAAACTAAATTCTTCATCCCACGCAGCGACCAAAGCCAAAGCCAGATGGAGCAGCAGCACGCCGCCTCCGCCGCCGCTAAACCCATTCGTTGCATCGTCAAACTCGGTCAGCAGTATATCTACTTATAATTCCAATTTCTATAAGTGTGTTTTTCCTATTTAATTCGCTTAATTGTTTAATTAAGTTAATTTGACACCTCGCTTTGATTAACACAACTGCAGGGGCTTCAGTAAGTGTTCTGTGAGTTTACTGGTTTATTGAGCACTTTTAAGCATGAAAAGCGCTTTTGTTCGTCTTCTCTAAATAGTCTCCGTACGGGATTGGAATCTATCCAGTTAAAGAATTTGAACGTAATAGGGTGTAATTATTATTATTTTTTATTTGATTAATGCGAGAATTTGTATTGGGGTTCAAAAATATCACTGGGCTGCTTATTTTCATACTTCGTCATTAAAGATTAAGCGAGGACTGCAGGAATTGTGCTATAATGAGATGAAAATGTGTTTGTTAGAGGCAAATTTTACCGTTAGATGTTAAAAATGATATCTTTATTGTGATTGGATATATGTAAGTCATTTTTCAGCACGCGGTTTTATATGATGGGATCACAGGCAAGAGGAAAATGTGTGTTATTTGGCTTTTTGGCTGCAGTTTTGCATGTGTTCAAAGATGATATCAGTGTCTTCATAATCTAGTTGGCGGATTTATGTGTATGATACAGGAGGCTCTGCAATTACCTGTAAAAATGAACTGGAGACAATAAACGAGGAGGATCTTATGGTAGTTTCATCACAGCTGCGGCAGGCAATTATTTCGGGCTCATGTCACGGAATGGACTGGAGCAAGAGGCCTGGATCATTGGAAATTCCCAGGGTCATTGATGATTTCAATGATAAAGAGGTTACTGACTCAAAGAAATTTATTGTAGTTCATGGTGCAGGTTGAGATTTTACCTCATTCATTGCCACTGTTGAGTTACTTTTGAAATGTGTTGATTTTAGTTTATGAAAAACACATACACTCTGATAAATCACAAAACTACCTTACTTGGGAAAGGGGGATTTTATGTTGATACTTAGTGCATCAGTTCTTCAAAATTGAAACATGAGATCACAATACTTGGGTTTGCAGCAGTAGAAAACAAGAATCTGCTTCTGTCAATTGAACACTGCAGAAGTAGCTCAAATAGTTATAACTACAATCTGCCAAGGTTTTTGTATGTTTTGAATAATAAAATAGGAAATCAGAGAGCATTTTCCTTTAATTTGCCCAAGATTCTTCTCTCCATAATTGCTACACTGTATCAGCCAACCATGATTTTCTTATTGATGCACAAACAGATTTCCCATTTATCCTTTTTGTTTCGTGTGGGTAAAACTCATTAATGAACAAAGGATGATACAACTTTCCACAATATTTTGGGACATCTAATGTGTTTGTGTTGTTGGGTTTGTGCTAGAATGGCCCATGACATTTATTACTGCTATCAGGTTCTTTTGGGCATTTTCAAGCGAGCAAGTCAGGCGTTCATAAGGGTGACTTGAGCAGACCACTTGTTAAAGCTGGTTTTGTTGCCACACGTATATCTGTAAGACCTAAACATTGTCTGACCTTAGTCTATTGTGCTATATCAACTTCTTGTTTGTTTTGGTTGTACTATAATTTACGTGAAGTTAAACCATCGTAATGAGGCAGTTGAATTTACATCTACTTTTAAAAGATTATGTCATGCCGAAAGAACTTCATGAACAGAAAAAGTAGATCAAGTGCCTTATATTTTGTTTAATTTTACTGCCTTCATATAAATTGACAATGTCGACTTTTAAGGCCAATTTGACAAATTTTTATTTGTTTAATTTTTTTTTTTTTTTTTTGAAATCTCAAACCTTATGGATCATTGTATATTCAACGTTGTATATTTTCTAATGTAATTTTCATACACTTTCTACATTGTGTCAAACTCCACTCCAGAAAAAACTTCATTTGACCAAAAGTCCAACTGGGTCAATGAGTATATAACTAAGGGATTTATCTGGAGAAGAATGAGTTACTTTTTACTGAAATGGCTGAAATCTTAATTTATCAAGCACTGTTTTCAAATTTTTTTGCACTTCCCCAAATGTATTCTCGAAAAAAAACCCATATTGTCTATTGATTAATGTTAATGTGGTTCACTTTTTGCTCTTATGTTTTCTCCGTAAAGCCATACCTTTTTTAGGAGTTATATTGATTGGTCAAGTTACCTTAGCATTCATTTATGTATTTGTTTGGATAGACCACATTTAGGGGTTCTTTGAGCCCCATTTTCTCAAAAAAATGCATTTTGAAATAGTGTTAATGATGAAGAATGTGTGGTTAAAAAATAAGGAAATGTTTTGGATTTGCGTGTAATATTATTATATTGAAAAATTTGTGGTTCAAATAATGTCAAATCGTTGTTGAAGAATGTATTTTGATGAAAAAATGGGGCTCAAACAAGAGCATAGATTTTACATATTTAAATGCTTACCAATTTTCTTGAAAGTTGAATGATTTTGTTATTCTTTTTGTAGATACTTATTACTATGTTTGGCTGTTACATTTCAGGACATTCAAAAATTACTCATCTTCTAATGAGTCCTTTCTGGTTATGTTTATTCTCATTCTGTATTCATTCTAATTGTTATAGGTCACATCTCTTAATCTTGAAATTGTCAGAGCCCTAGCAAAAGGTATTGATGGAATTCAACTATCCATTTTTTAGATATTGTTAGCACAATATATATAGTTTCTTTAGTTTAAGGGTCCTGTTTATTATATACAGATTTTCTGATTATGCTTCATCTGAATCATATGCAAACAAGGATTAGCCAGGGTTTAGGACTCCTTTGACAGATTTTCAAATTTTTATACCCCCCCCAAACCCAACCCCCCTTTCGTTTTCTTTTTTCTTCTTGCATTCATTGTTCACTTCATTTTAATATTTTTCTGCCAACATGTTTTACCTCAAGATTATCCACCATTGTAACTGCCCAAGGCCATAAATTGTTTATACTCGTGCCAAATCGATAATTTCTGTATTCCATTGGCTCCTGCAATATATTTTGGCATTAAAATCAACCATAAACCTTTGAACTAAATTTGTTAAGCTTTTGACTTGTAATGTTGGTCAACTTATCTATAATCCAAAATTATTTTGTTGAATTTCTATGTTATTCATGACTGCATTCACCTCGCCAAAGTTATAACTGAATTTCTTAATGACAAATCACGTTCTTTTATGCTTTCTAATTTAATTCTTACATTGTTAAGATTTTTATTTTTAGGGCCTGTTTGAGCCACGTTATTCTAAAAAAATGTATTTTTAAACAGTGAACAATGAAATAAAAAATAATGTGGCTCAAACACCTCCTTATTTATTTATTTATTTAATTTTTATCCTGCACAACTTATTGCAACTCTTTTTATCTCTTTTTACTATGTACATTTCCTTTTGACAATTTATTTGTGTCTTCCTACAGAGGGTATTCCTTCTATTGGAATGTCTCCATTTTCATGTGGCTGGTCAACACGTGAAAGAAATGTTAGGAGGAGTACTGAAAGCTTTACCTATCAATTTGTTGCAATATTCTTTTCATGCTATATGTCTGTTTAGTCACCTTTTGGATAGCTTTTAATGGCTAGACCTAAGAAAGTTTAGTTGTGCTCCTTTACAGATAGCTGTGGCTGATTTAAGTACAGTGGCTAAAGCTATCGACAATGGATTTGTACCTGTAAGTTTGAACTTCCTCAAGTGAACAATGAAATACGAGATTACACCCATTGAATTGATCTTTATATTATTTCTGTTAAGGCTTCAAAACTTACTCTTTTTTCCCTCATTATGACTCTCCAATCTAGACCACAATTATCATAATTGAAGGAACAATGTGAATTATAATATCTTTCACCACTTTATATTCTTGTTTTTGGGCATTCTTCTATGTTAATCTTCAAGTTACCAGAAGTGAATCTTTTTACAATTTTAAAGTTTTCCTCATTGGAGGATAAATTGAAACACCCCTAAATTCCCGAGGTTAACATGATATCAATCTTCATTCTGCCAAAGTCTGAATGAGATTACAATAGCTTTGTTTACTGAGACACAGATATATATTTTCAATCAAAAATTCAAATTTACTCGCTACTATATTCTAACAAATAGTATTTTACTTTGATGCTGAACCACATTCATGGCATGGTAGAAGCAATTCTTTTAACTGACTACTGTTAGCGAGCTGTCATTCTGAGAAATGTTGCTTCAGGTTTTTATTTCATCTTGAATCAGGTTTCTGATTCATTTGGATGATATTCTTGTTGCTAAGAAGTTTTTGTTTGCTTTGCGACTATTTATCCATGTTTTTTTTTCTTTCCATCTCATGAAAACTAGAACTGATGCCCATTTCTCAAAATTCTAGGTTCTGCATGGAGATGCTGTACTGGATACTTCACTGGTTTGATTTCTGTTTATGCATCTCTAAACTAGTAAATTTTCATGGTCTCGATACGTTCTGAATCCAGTCAACTTATGATCCAGGATTGCACTATATTAAGTGGGGATGTAATCATACGTCATCTGGTAGCTGAACTGAAACCTGACTATGTCGTTTTCCTAGTATCCTCTATTAATGTAATGATATTCTTACCCCTAATTCTTCTTTGACTTTTATCTTTTTCATGGGGACATGAGACCGTTACTGAACTTGAATGAATAATTTATCTTCTTTTGTTGCCTAGAGAAGATCACACCAGCAGATTATTTCTAGTGTAAAAGTAATGGGAAAACACCTAATTATATGCCATTTTCCATCACGTTCCATGCAATCACACCTGTCTGTACCGTCTAGTTTATTGTATTTTGCACATGGGAATACATGTGAAATAGCTTTATGTGCACGTCCTATACAACTCCAACTGAAGACAGATGTTTTTGGGGTATATGACCGCCCACCAACAGAACCTGATTCAGTGCTTCTTAGGGAAATCGGTAAGTATCTCAAAAGATAGAAGTGTGTAACACACACAAGGTAAAACATATTCTGATGTTGGGTTCATTCGATATTGAACTAAGATGCTTAATTCATTATTCATATTCACAGCTGTGCGTGAAGACGGTAGCTGGTTTGTAGTAAAATCAGAATTGCAGGACATGAACAGGCAAGGTCAGTGTATTATCATTATTCGCACCATACAATACGAGTTCATCTCCTACTTAGCATTTATATACCTGTGTAATGTTTTGCCATTAAGATATTGGCACTTTAGCACGTTTGAGAATGATTTACCATCCTAAATTTAGCTCGTTGACTTTACGTATACCTTCACAATCAAGATTGCTGTTGTATAGTTCACACAAGGTGTGATGGTGATAAAGGAACTCATGAAGCTTTACTTTCTTTCATGTTCATAGACTATTAACCAATAACCGGTGACAATTATTGTGAACAGTTGAAATAACAGTAGCAGCACACGACACAACTGGTGGCATGGTGACAAAGATATCGGAAGCTGCAATGATTGCCAAACATGCAATTGATGTCTATATTGTTAAGGTAATAGACAACAACCTATCAGTTTGTTTCTTAAGGAAATATGTATCTTCAATGTTAAGCGGATGCAGGCAGCTACGGATCACTCATTGAAGGCTCTACGAGGAGATTTGAAAGAGAACATACCTGACGACTGGCTTGGAACAGTTATCCGGCTTGCCAAGTAGAATCAACTGCTCCTTTTTTGAAGTATATCGACATAGATTTGGAGTATGCAAGTTTTTGTGCATGTGAATTCAAGCATTTATTGGAGTCAGGTCAATCCTGCTGTTGTATCCTACTGATTAACAATTGTAGACGTCATACCCCTTTGTATCGTTTCCAGCTTTACTATTTTTTTTTTCTGTCCATTTTTTTTCCAAAAGCAATGGTGACATTAGAATTAGTCCACTTCATCAAGTGCAAATCAATCTGAATACTTTCCCTCAGGATCTACTTTCCTGCAATTAAAATATGTTGACCTCGAATTTTGTATCTCCAACGTGGTCAATAGATCCCAAAGCCTTCCACGTCTACACAACTCTGAGTTTTGCACATTTAGATAAATCATTAGCCACACGTGGCTTTCTCCGACGGTGTGGAGTCGATCCCAGTCCGACTATTAAGTCAGTTGAAATAGTATATATGGATGTGGGAGGTGCTTTAGACGTGAGCCTTCAATATTGAAGGGGGTTGGCGTTGGAGAATTCCATGATAATATAGTAAGGATGGCAAGGTTATAGTTTGAAAGTCTAAGTTTGCATTATTTTTGTTCTGGTATATTGTGTGAGCTTTTATAGCAGAATAATGTGAATGTTGATCGTAAGATGAAAGTGCACATGGCCTCGTTCGTGTGGCTGAGGCTTTTTGTCGAAGGTGTCAATCATGATGCTAATATTCATTTTGTTGCACGTAAATCTGGTACATGACTTAGACTTGACTTGATTAGTTGGATAGGACGACGGTAGCAGGGAATTGTTATATTAATCACATATTAGAAATCTTATAAAAGATTTCCCGTTGGCCCCCTTACAGTCTCTCCTGCGTGAGGGTTCGGTTCTTCATATGGGGTCGACTCAGTTAAATGGATTCAGCATCCCATATAGGCTTGGCCTCTTCATGAATTTTGGGCCAAACTGCTTGTTAGACAGAGTGACGTGGAGTTCGGTTTCAGGTTTGTTTGCCACGTGGGAGGCGAAGCATAACAAAATCTAGAATAAAGTCATTACCAGATATATTTTGCCCACCTAGGGGACCAATCCTCACATTGACATGGAATTCGCACCGATTTCATGTGAATAAAAAATGTAAAAAATGGCAATCTAATCACCCCCAACTATGAGTGTATGTCAGCTGAGGTTTCAAAATAATTCTGGCACAGCATATTGCAAATTATAGCCTGTGACCTGAATAAGTCCCCTCTGGATTTAAAATGCCATATCATCTTATCCCTCGTCTCTAGCATACGCATACGGCATACCCAACGAGAGTGACGTAATTAGCTCATTATCAATTGAAGCAAATTTCCTCTCAATCTTAATTGCATCCAAGGCACCCGTTAATGAAATGAAATTTTTCTCCCGCTCTACCTCTCCCCTTGGCACAGAAACTGACCGGACAGAAGCAGGTCTCGACAGGTAAGGGTCGTTAAAAATTTTGACCGTCTCCATCTCCAATTCTACAACGTAGGCCTTGCTGTAATATTCTCTACCCAAAACGACACTATGCCATAAGAAAGAAGATTCATTCAGAATTCTAGCTTCAAGAAAAGAGTCAGAACAATGATACTTATATTTCAGAAAACGTGCCGCTTAGGAACCTGGGTTTGTAAACAAATTCCAAGCTCGCTTGGGTTTTGAGATTTGGGTAGT